TACACCACAGAAATTGGCAAACACACAAATCAGGGCCTTTATTTATCCCAGAGACCTGGTTTGCCAGCACACCACTGCATGCAAAATCTGTACATATGTGTATGTGTGTGTGTGTGTGTGTGTGTGTGTGTGTGTATGTATGTATGTATGTATTCAACCCTGTTTGCAGATGAGGAAACTGAGGCTCAGAGAGGTTATTGTCCAAAATCAACTAGTTTAGTAGATGGTAGATCTAACCTTGGAATCCCAAATCCCATTCTCTTAGCCACAAGGCTGTCCTGCCTCCACAGATGAGAAAATGTGTATGAAAGAGATTCATAAACAGACAAAACTTTATAAATATTCATTATTAATCTTAATACAGAAAATATATCTTTTATCTCTATACATTCTTTGTACATCAAAGCTGCTAACAAATGTCTGATTGTGTCTCTCCTCGCTTCCTCCCCACCCCTAGAATTCTTCATCATGTTTTCCGTGTAGGTGCATTCTTCTCGAAAATTCTCCTTCTCTGTTCATTTCTTCTGCCTCTCAGCATCCCCCTCTCCTTCCCTTACCACCTCCTTCTGGAGCCAGCCCTCTGTTGTTTCCCATTTCACTTTTGTCCCACCCTCCATTCTAGCAGCCAGGAAGTCAGAATAGAATCTGCCCTCCCAAAACAACCGCTCCCGCCCCCTCTATCAGAATCCAAGCAGAAAACCATCCGTGCCCAAGCAAGTCCTGCAACAATTGCTACTGTTCCCCCTTCACGGTGGCAGGGAGGCAAGACGGCTCTTAATCTGATTGCTTTCCTTGTTTTCTGACACCCCAGAGAAACCACACGTTCCATTTGGTGGTCGTCAGAAATAACATGCTTAAGAAAGCTGGAATTATAAAACTGCTTAATTAGGGAGAGATGGTTTCACTGGAATATGCCTAGTTTTCCCTGGTGGTTTGAGCTCCTTCTCAAAGTGCCCCCCCCCCCAGCAGCTAATTGCTACCTTTAACATGGTGCTTCATAGGCACTCACTCCACTCCCTTAATTTTATTTTCTGTGACATCAGTGCTTGCTTAGAAAGAGACATTCTGTCTTTGATGTTCCTTTTCTAACTCTCATTCTCTGTCAGCGGCAAACTCTAGAAAGTTGATGTGAGTAATGAGGCTAGAGTCATTAGCTCCAAGGGTCCCCCATTGACCAGGCACAGTGGCTCACACCTATAATCCCAACTTTTTTGGGAGGCGGAGGCCAGAGGATCACTTTAGGCCAGGAGTTCAAGACCAGCCTGGGAAACATAGCAAGACTCCATCTCTACAAAAAACAAAAAAATTCACTGGGCGTGGTGGTGCATACCTGTAGTCACAGCTACTCGGGAGGCTGAGGTGGGAGGATCACTTGAGCCCTGGAGTTTGAGCTATCATTGTGCCACTGCACTCCAGCCTGGGCAACAGAGTGAGACCCCCTCTCTTTAAAGAAAAAAAAAGAGAGAGATTCCCCCATTACTAAATGAGCACCAACTATGTCCTAGATGCTGGGGATACACCCAGAGCCAAATAATCTTTTCTCATAAAGGACTTACAGTCCAGTGGGACAGACAGATACTAAAATAATTTTTTTAAAATGGTGAGACATGCTCTGAAGGAGGAGTGTAGGGCAGTCTGAGAGGGTGTAACAGGAGCACCTAATGTAATTAAGGAGTCGGGGAAGTTCTCATAGGAGGTGACAAAGAGTAGAGGGACCACTCTTCCATCTGCAAAGGAAGAGCTTGGTGTCATCAAGCAACTGAAAGAAGGGCCAAGAATCTGGTACCTGAGCCTCCTGGGAAATTCTGGGATGTGTTGGAGACTCCATCAGGACTTGAGTTACCTGGCTTCTGATGTTCTAGACCACAGGTCAGCAAACTATGGGCCACAGGCCAAATACATCCTGCCACCTGTTTTTGTAAATAAAGTTTTATTGGAGCACAGCCACACCTGTTCACTTACCTGTTGTCTGAGGCTGCTCTCTCACTGCAACAGCAGAGGTGAGTAGTTTCCACAGAGGCTGTATGGCCTGCAGAGCCAAAGCATTCACCCCCTGGCCCTTTGTAGAGGAAGTTTGCTGACCCTTGTTCTAGACCTGCCCAAGAGCGAGCGGGAAGTTTGGGGTTTGGACCAGAAACCAGCCCACAGCTAAGGGGCCTGAGAATTGCAGAATCCAAAGACAGTGGCCAAGATTAAACATAAGGTGGTAGGTGACAATCCAGGATCTGAACCCAGGCTTCCTGGGTCTTGAGGCTGTGCTCTTAACCACCCAGCCAGGCTGGTTGTTGAGATTAGCCTGGGAGGAAGAACAGAGAAGGGACCAGTCAGCGAGATGCCAGCAGGCAGGGGCTCCTAGAGACACAGGGCCATTGTGTGGTGTGGCCATGTCCTCATCTGCCATAAGGCCAGGCAGACCAGGCGGGAGGCTGCCTACCAAGATGGCACCCGACCTGCCAACCATCCTCCCTTCACCTGGAACACCCTTTCCCCCCTTGTCCGGTCTGCATTCCCTTCACCATCCTGGCTCTTATTCTTCCATTAAAGTAGTGCTTCTCACACTTGAACGTGCACTCAGATCGCTGCGGGCCTTGTTAAATTGCAGATTCTGATTGAGAAGGTCTGAGGCGAGTCCTGGGTCTAACAAGCTCCCAGGCGCTGCTGCTGCTGGTCCACGGACCACGCTTTGGGTTGCTTAGGAGACACCTTCTCTTAGACATTCCTCATCAGCCCCCCACGCCTGCCCCCCATCTCAACTGTTGGGCCTCCTCGTGCTCACCTCTCACCTTCATGACCTTGACACCTTCAAAGAGTGCTGGGCAGTTATTTTGTGGACTGTCCCTCATTTTGGATTTCTCTCTCGTTTTCTCATGATTAGATTGAAATTATGAGTTTTGGGGCAGAAGACCACAGGAGTGATACTGTGTCCTCCTTAAGTCATTATATTAGGGCATTCAGGATGTCAGTATGACTTCTCACTCGATCACTTGGTTAAGGTGATGTGTGCTTGGCTTCTTCACCGTGAAGTTGCTGTTTTTCGGAATAATTTTTTGTTTTTTTTTTTAGAGACAGGGTCTCACTCTGTCACCCAGGCTAGAGTGCAATGGTGAGATCATAGCTTGTTGCAACCTCCAACTCCTGGGCTCAGGCGATCCTCCCACCTTAGCCTCCCGAGTAGCTGGGACTACGGGTGTGCACCACCACGCCCGGCTAATTTTTTAATTGTTTTGTGGCAGTGGGGTTTCGCTCTGTTGCCCAGGCTGGTCTCAAACTCCTGGCCTCAAGTGATCTTCCCGCCTTGGCCTCCCAAAGTGCTATAATCCCAAAGTGCTGGAATTACAAGCATGAGCCACCATGCCTGGCGGTTTTTCGGGATAATTTTTTAATGGCTGTGTGGCTTTCCATTATAGATCTTGAACATAATCAGACCCTCTTCTTTATACATTGTGTTTGTTACTTTTATTCTTTTTTTACTGTTATAAAGAATGTCACAGTGGCTATTCCTATTGGTACATCTTCGTACATACCCCTGATTATTTTGTTAGGATAAATCGCTAGAAATAGAATAGTCGGCACAAAGGTTATTCACATTTTTACAGTTATGGATATCTGCGGCAGGGTTATTTGTTGGTATGTTTGTTTTAATCAGCTTTATTGAAGTATAATTCAAATACAATAAAGTAAACAGATTTGGAGCATCTATTTCAATGAGTTTCGCAAATGTACGCACCCATTTATCGACAATCCCAATCAAGATATAAAATATTTCTGTCACTTCCCAAAATTTCCTGACACCCCCCTTGCAGTCAGTTTTCCCACCCTCTACCCCAGGCAACCAGAGATCTGGTTTCTATGACCTCAGGTCAATATTACCTGTTCTAGGAGTTCACATAAACCAGAATTATACAACAAATACTCTTGTATGACTGCCTTCTCTGATTCGACATAACGTCTGTGAAATTTGTCCACATGGTTGTACGTCTCAGCCATTTGTTGATTCTTACTGCAGAGTAGGACCCTGTGGTATAACTACGCCGCCATTTGTTTATCCGTTCTTCCGTTGATGGACGTCTGGGCCGTTTCCAGTGTGGGGATTTTATGAATAAGGCTACTAAGAACTTCGGCGTCTGTGTGGACATGTTTTCATTTCTCCTGGGCAAATCCCTCAGAGTGGGATTGCTGGGTCATTAGGTGGGTATGTGCTCAACTTTATTAGACGCGACAGGGCAGGGTTATTTCCATCTCCGTGTTGTAGCGTGGGCCACAGAAAGCTTGGGGGACTTGGCCAAGGGCAAAGGGAGGACGGGAAATGGCATTTGTCACCAGGCACCATGCTGGGTACTTTTCCTGTTCATCTCCTTTAATCCTCAAAGCAGCCCCAGAAGGTGGGGGTTGTGGCTCCCATTCTGTAGATGAGGAAACTGAGGCTCACAGACGTGCACCTAGAGATGATTCAAAGCCAGCCCAGTGTGAGTGCCCACCAAGTGTTCATCCTGCCTCCTCGGAGGTAGTAGATGACGGGGCTGGAAAGGACATTCATCTCCCCGCTGTTGACCTCACAGCCTTACCGCCACCCTGTACCCGTCCTGCCCTGGGCCCTGAGAGCGGTCGCCTGTGATGCCCAAATCAGCCCTCTAGGGACAGGGTGATCTGGGTACGGGGGTAGGGGCTGTGCCCCCACCTTTGGCTTTGAGCCCTCTGAACCATAGCAAGACCCGCCCTCCAGCCCTCTGCCAAAGGTGTAGAGTTTCCCCTGCCCTGAAACGCGACCCTCAGCATGTTGATCTTCTGGGATGGTGGGTGGCGGGTGAGGGCAGCGGGCAGGGGCCTCGTCTCCCCGGCCATATCACAGCCCCATTAGGAGCTGGCCTGAGTGCTTTCCAAAGCTGATTAATGGCCTGCCTGTGACCTGGAATGTCATTACTGCCCGGGCTGGGGCCCCCCAGCTCGGTCCTTTGGGTCTTTACTGCTAATAATAATTGATGCTCTCTGTGTGGTTGCAGGGAAAGTTCTATCTGGTCATCGAGGAGCTGAGCCAGCTGTTCCGCTCACTCGTCCCCATCCAGCTGTGGTACAAGTACATCATGGGGGACGACTCCTCCAACAGCTACTTCCTGGGAGGGGTCCTGATCGTCCTCTACAGCCTCTGCAAGGTGAGGTGGCCCCACTCCCTCGCCAGGCCTGGGCGGCTACTCCACTGGGAAGACTGGATACCCCTGCTAATGTCATTTCTTTTTATCAATTGAAGTAAAATTCACACAACATAAAAATTAACCACTGACCATTTTAAAGTGTGCGGGTCAATGGCGTTTAGCAGATTCACAGTGTCATGCAACTACCACCTCTTAACTAGTCCCAAGGCTTCATCATCACCCCCAAAAAAACCCCGTACCCATTAAGCGGTTACTCCCCATTCCCTGCTCCCCTCAGGCCCTGACAACCACTAATCTGCTTTCTGCCTCTATAGATTTCCCTATTCTGGATGTTTCGTGTAAATAGAATCATACAATACGGGACCTTTTGTGTCTAGCTTCTTGCACTTAGTATAATATTAATATTTTTGAGGGTCATCCATATTGCAGCGTCCATCAGTACTTTTTATGGTTTAATCCACCCTAATTTCTTGCCCACGAAGCTCACCATATGATATTCTTTCACAGAGTCATCTCCACAGCAACCCTTCAAGGTACATGCCTTTATTGCTCCCATTTAAAGTGAAGAAACTGAGGCCCAAGGAGAGGTTATTTGCCCAGGTCACTCAGCTAAAGATGATGGGACAAACATCAAAGGCAGGCAGGCAGGCTGCCTCTAAAACCCAGAGCTTTTAACCACACTTCCACTGAATTTGTTTTCTATCCCTCTTTCCTCAAAAATAGTATCCCCCTTAGAGGGTCACTTGAGGCTAAGAGTTCCAGACCAGCCAGGGCAACATAGCAAGACCCTGTCTCTACCAAAAAAATAAATAAATCAGAAAATTTAACCAGTAGCCTGCACCTGTAGTCCCAGCTACTCAGGAGGCTGGGGCAGGAGGATCACTTGAGCCCAGGAGTGCAAGACTGCAGTGAGCTATGATCACACCACTGTACTCCAGGCTGGGTGACATGGCAAGACCCTATCTCTAAAAAAAAAAAAAAGAAAGAAAATGGTATCCCTCTTAAACTGCACTCCCTCAACTCTTAAATCAATATGCAGTATTTCTCTTTTCATTATTGGTACAACTCAGGGTTTTTTTCCCCTGCTAGAAGTAAATACATTCTTCTCTTTCTTTTTCTTTCTCTGTTTCTGGCCTTAGAGAATTCCAGAGGAACTGCCTGTATTCCTCTCTCTCCCTCCTCCCAACAGGACTAGCCAGGCAGTCCATGCAGCCTCAGCCACTGGGACGTTTCTTGCTTCCTGATTCTGATCGAGGCAGTGGCTGACTGGAGTGCTGCATGGAGAAGGATTATCAGGCCCTGGCTGGGCTCAGGGGAAGAGTGCTGTGATCTATTAGCAATGCCTGCCCTGGGCTTGGGAGGGGGAAGAGGCAGTATGTGTGCCATATATTTGCCATCCTGGCCTACATAGCAGGGGAGACTGTTGCTGTCATGCTGCAAGACAAAAGCCAAGCAAAGCTGAAGGGGATGAGGAGTCACAAAGGGGAAGGAGAGCCCTGAACATGTTTTGAGTCAAAGACAAGGGTGGGGACATGGGGGCATTGTGCAGGGGTCATGCGAGATCCTTGGATGCTTTTCAGCCACCACTCTGCTCTCTTTTCAGTCATTCGACATCTGTGGTCGCGTGGGCGGAGTTAGGAAAGCCCTGAAGCTTCTCTGCACCTCTCAGGTGAGTTGGCAGTAAGTGGTCCCCACTGGGGTCCCAGGAACCCGGAGCTGGAAACAGCAGCAGCCTCTTCCTCCTGTGAGGGTACGGCTCCCACAAGGGTCCATAGCTGCGTTTGTCTCTCCCCTCCCTCAAACAGAACTACGGAGTCCGAGCCACGGGGCAGCAGTGCACAGAAGCCGGCGACATCTGTGCCATCTGCCAGGCTGAGTTCCGAGAACCTCTCATTCTCCTGTGCCAGGTGAGCAGGCTTGGGCTGGGCCGCTGGAGACTGAGGCTGGGGGGCAGCAGGACCCTTCCCCATGACCGGCCCTCAGGGCACTGGCATGGGTCTTGGGGAGCAATCTGGTCAAGACTGGAGTCAGCCAGACCCAAGTTCAAATCTCAGCTCTGCCTCTTATTAGCTGGGTGGCCTTGGGCAGATCACTTTACCTCTCTGAGCCTCGGTTTCATTGGTAAAAGTGTAGAAGTGCCAAATCCTTTGTGGTGCAACGTCAGAACATCCCGAGTATGAATTTCAGCAGCATTCTTGAGCCCCACGTGGGTCGCTGCATCTCCCTGAGCCTTGTTTTTTGTCATGTATAAAATGGGCATAATAATAATACCTACTTCATAAAGCTATTATTATAATTCAAGGAGATCAGCAATGGCAAGAACTAAATTTGAATTATTCAGATATAGAAGTTGCTAGCATTATAATTACCAGTATAATTATTATTGCCACTTGTTTTCATTATTAGTCATGGGACGCCAGCCCATGGAGGAAAATATGGTTGGTCCCTTTTAACTCCCTAAATGCGTCCCCCCTCCTCCTCCTCCTCCTGACATCAGGGTATAGGTGTCAATTCTGCAAATGTGTATGGGGTCACAGCATCGTGTCAGACACGGGGGAGGAGAGGCAGAGGGCACACGGATTCTGTCCCCTCCTCTGGAAGCTCACACTCTCCTTGGGGAGACAGGCACGTACATAAATAACTATGAAACAAGGCAGGCGGTGATAAGTGCTGTGTAAGAGAGATTCATGCAGTGTCCCGGGGGACTGGGGCAGAAAGCACTGCGTTCCAGGGAGGCTTTTTGGAGGAGGCATAAGCCTGGGGACCAGAAGGCGTGGAAAGGCCTACGGGTGAGGGGACAGGAGATGGGGTGCTTTTTAAAGCACCAGCAAATTTTTTTTTTATTTTTTATTTTTTTTGCTGTTTGGGGATTTTGCAGGGAAGGGTTGTTTTTAATTTTGTTGCTTTTTAAATTGATCATATATTTGCATGCATCAAAATTCAAAAAGGAGATTAAGGAGACGTGATGACTAAATGCAACATAGGACCTGGGTTGGATCCCAGAATAGGGAAAGGACGTTAATAGAAAACTGGTTTGATGAAATCCGAATAAAATCTGGAGTTTAGTCGATAGTAACATATCAGTGTGGGTTCCTTAGCTTTGACAAGTGTACCATGGCAATGCAAGACGATAACATTAGGGGGAAACTGAAACCCAGTGAAGGGTATATGGGGATTTTCTGTTCTATCTTTGTAACTTTTCTGTAAGCCTAAAATCATTCCAAAATAAAAGTTTATTTAAAAAAAAAAAGTTTTAAAGGTATTAAAAGGAAGCCTGTTACTGTGTGTGTGTATGTGTGTGTGCGTTTACATCTTTTTAAATGTTTGTTTGTTTAGTTTTAGAGACAGAGTCTTGTTCTGTCACCCAGGCTAGAGTGCAGTGGCGTGATCATAGCTCACTGCAACCCTGAACTCCTGGGCTCAAGTGATCCTCCTGCCTCAGCCTCTCGAGTAGCTGGGACTACAGGCACTCACCACTGTGCCTGGCAAATTTTTCTTATTTTTTTGTAGAGACAGGGTCTCACTGCATTGCCCAGGCTGGACTTGAAGTCCTGGCCTTAAGTGATCCTTCTGCCTCAGCCTCCCAAAGGGCTGGGATTACAGGCATGAGCCACCACACCCAGCCTCTTTTTATAAAAACACCTAAGCTGTACCCATCCTGCTTTCTGCACCTTGCCTTTGAAACTTGAAACTCTGTCTTAGAGATTGCTTCTTTCCCTATTGTATAGCTGCATAACATGCTATTTTGTGGATAGACCCCAATTTGTTTACCCATTCTGTTGAGAGGCCTTTAGTAGCTTATAATCTTTTGTTACCACAAATAGGACTGTCACAAATGATCTGAAAAATGGGGAGGTTCATCGCACCTACCTGGGCCCATCATGTTGATTAAATAAGTTAATTCGAGTAAGGCATTTAGAACTGCACCTGGCACGTGGTCAGGGTTCAATAAATATTAGCCCTTATGGGCGTGCGTTCCAGTTCACACGTGCACAAGCTCTTGGAAGGATAAATTCCTAGCGGTGGAATTGCTCGGTCAGAGGGTGCACAGTTTTCACAGATATTGCTAAACTGCCCTCCATAAAGAGTGTATCCACTTACGTTCCCAGTGCGCAGCGTGACACGGCCCCTCGCTCCTCATCACCAACACACAGCGTTATCAAGCCTCTTCTGAGCTTTGCCAATCTGACAGGTGACAAACGCTATCTCAGCACAGTTTTAATTTGCATTTCCTGAATTATGAGCGTGGTTGAGCATGTTTTCATATGTTTCAGAGCCATCTGTATTTCCTTCTCGGTAGCAGGGATTATTGGAACAAGATGTCAAGGTGAAAAGTCTGGCAATCTTTGTAAGCCTCAGTCTGTTTGTCTCTCTTCCATCCTTCTCCTGAGACCACTATGTCCTCCTAAAGCTGGATTAGAAATTCTTGGGAGGGGTCAGACAAGACATCGTTGTCCCAGATCTCGGAGTAATGGCCATGCCCTGTGCTGGTTGAAGACCAGAAACATGACCGGGCAGAGCACACCTCTAAGTCTTGGTCTGCTGCTCTCATCTGGGTCTGGAAGGACAGAGATGGCTTGTCCAGGTGAAAGGGCCTTGCTGACTCCTAAGTGCATGGAATGAATGAAGGAATGAATGAATGACTCAGCTTTAAGGTTGCTTCCTCGATAAAGGCTTCCCTGACTCTGCCTCCCCAGACTGGCTGTGATTCTAGCTACATGGTCTCTTAGATCCCCGTGTTTTTCCTTCATGTCACTTGTTCCAGTTGTTAGCCGGATACTTCATTGGGCAGCTGGTTGGGTAAGGTCTGTCTCTCCTCTGCCAAATTACAAGTGCCTTGAGAATAGAGACCATGTCTGTCTTGCTTAACAGCAGAGCCACAGTATTGGCTCAGTAAATATTGGACAGTTGGATGGATGGAATGGGCGATGGGATGGGTAGATGAATAGGATAGAGGCAGATGGATCAGATGGATGGATGGATGGATGGATGGATGGATGGATGGTGCCCAGGTAGAGAAGCGGGTGGGTGAATGCAAAGGTAGGTGGATAGCAGTACAAACGGGTCGGTGACTGTGTGGATGGCCAGGACAGATGGGTGAATGGATGGATGGATGGATGGATAGTGGGGTGGATAGACAGATGCGTGGGTAGATGGACAGATGGGTAGGTGAGTGAATAGATAGATGGACGGGTGGGTGGCTGGGTGGATAGTCGGATGACTAGATGGACTAACAGAAGGACAAATGATTGAGTGGGTGGATGAAGAGCCCACTAGGCTAAAGCAACATCCTGTCTCCCCTTCAAAGGAGAGACATAAAGCAGAGGAGTGTGACTGCCTGGGTGAATCTTCCAGAAGGAGTAGGCATCCACCCAGCTGATAGGGTGGAGAAAGGGCATCCCAGGCAGATATTAATGCTTATGCAAAGGCTGTGAATAAGCCTTGCGTTGAAGGTCATGTGGCATGTCAGCGACATCGGGTACCCCGGGGTGATGAGGCTGAAGTGGGAGAAGGGCTGTCATAGAAGGCCTTGGGTGCCATGGTGGGAATCTGTAGAAGGTGCTGGGCCTGCTGATGCCTGGGTCCTGCCCTGCAGACCATGGTGGGCATCCCGTATGGTCTTCAAGCCTCTGTGTGAGTGGATCTCCTCTCCCCACTCCCCTCACTCCAGCCACATCGGCTGTCCTTGAGTGCCTCAAATGCCTTCAGCTTGGAATGTTCTATCTCCACCCCCTCTCTTCACCCAGCTAACTGCTAAATGTCCTTCAGGGCTCAACTCATACATCCCTTCCTCCAGGAAGCCTTCTTTGACTACCCCCTCTCCCAGGATCAGACTGGTCCCTCTGTTACACATCCTGCATAGGACTGTGGAACTCTCCTTCAGAGCACTGTCTACAATTAGACACCTACTGTATACCATGCTAGGAATGAATGGGTTTATAAGAAGCTTACAGCCCGTTATGGAGAGACAGATAATATTAAATGATCAACAGGCATAAGACAACATGTATGACTATAATAATAGCTAACACCTATACAGCACTTACTATGTGCCAGGCATTATTCCAAGTGTCTCTTTAAATTTTTTTTTTACTTTTCAAAAAACATTTTGTTTAGATTTTTATATTATCATTTTCCTCAGACTGTTTATTTTGAAGAATTTCAAGCCTACAGAAAAATTAAAGGATAGTAGGGTAAACACCCTTCTATTCTTCACCTAGATTTACTAATCATTAACATTTCTCTACTTTTGCCTTTTCTTGATAGCAATGTTTTCCCCTAAACTAGTTGAGAGTAAATTGCGGACATTTCGATTCATCACCTGTAAATACTCTAGCGTGCATGTCCCGGGAACAAGGACATACTCTCCCATGATCACAATTCCACTAGCACTCCCAGGAAATTTAAGATTGATTTGAAATATCATCTAATATGTGGAACATACTCAGATTACTCTGGTGGCCTTCAAAATGTCCCTTATAGCTGGGGATTTTCCCCCCATCCCGGACCTAGTCAAGATTTGTGTGCTGCATTTGGTTGTCATGTCTAAATGCTTTTAACATGTTATTTAATCTCCCAATGAGGGGGGTATTGTCCCCATTTACAGATGAGGAAACTGAGGCACAGGGAGGTTAGTTGCTTGTCCGGGTTATACAGAGAGTGGTGGAACCTGTTGGACTTTCTAATCTCCCTACCTTTTTTTTTTTTTTTTTTTTGACCCCTATGTTCTATTCTTAACCCAGCAGACAAAGGAATCATCTTAAACTACAGATCATATCAGTTCACTCCTCTGCTCAAAGCCCTGCCATGGCTCCCTACTTCTCTCAGAATAAAAGCCAAGTCCTCACAAGGCCCACACCCACCCCCCATCACTTCTCTGACCTCTTCTCTCTTTCCCATCCCCTGGTTCCCCACTCTCTGCTGCTGTTCCTCTAGCACATTCCAGCCACAGGACCTTTGCACACGCTGTCCCCGCTGCCAGGACCATTCTTCCCCTAGAAACCACCAGGGCTCCCTCCTCACCCTCCTGCAAGTTTTACCCAAATGTCAGCATCTCAACCCTCCCGAGCACCCCCCACTCCTCTGCTGCTTCGTCTTAGCGCGTAACTGCTGATAGACTAGATATTTTAGAGATTCAGGTTGCCGCCTGTCCCCTGCTGCTGAGGACAAGCTCCACGAGGGCAGAGATTGTGTGTTTTATCTGCTGCCGTGTCCGCAGCTCCCAGGACCCATGCAGAGTCCTGAGTCGTGCTGGTTGCTGTCCCCGCAGCACGTGTTCTGTGAGGAGTGCCTCTGCCTGTGGCTGGACCGTGAGCGCACCTGCCCGCTCTGCCGCTCGGTCGCCGTGGACACCCTGCGCTGCTGGAAGGATGGCGCCACGTCGGCACACTTCCAGGTGTACTAGGGTCGAACGCTGAGGACACCAGGGGGACGCCGGAGGGTCAGGGGGCTTCCTGGAATTCACGTCCTGCCTCCTGCCTTCCACCACCACTGACCCCAAAGCCTGGCCCCGGCCTGTCCTCGCCACCTTGTCCTTCCTCTCCTGTCCGCAGCGTGGCGCGTGCATCCTTCCCCTACGTGTGGGGAGGCCCTCCTAACTTAGACGTGGTCCCCGCCCAGGTCGGTCTTCCATCCCCCCTCCAAGTTGAGGACTTGGTAATACGTGAAGTTCCCACCTGTTGGTTATTTTGACCTAGTACCTAGTGCTTGACGCTGCAGCGCGGGGAGGAGGCTGAGATCACTGCCTCCCTGCAGTGGCCCGGGCGGGTCAGAATCACTGTGAAGTGTGTTCAAGATGCAGTTGCTGGCCCCACTGTATACCTGTAATAACTCAGTGTCCCAGACACTTAGTGTGCGCCAGGCACAGCGTCGAGCATCCTGTTTGGGTCACCTCCTGTCCTCCCCCCGACAGCTCTGTGGTGGAGGTACTGTTGGCTTCCCCATTGTACAGGTGTGGTCACTTTCCCGGGGTCACCCAGCTGGCAATGGTGGACCGAGTTTCCAACACAGGCCTGGTGCCACTTCGGAACTCGAGCTCTTTTTTTTTTTTTTTTTTTTAAGAGATGGTGTTGCCCAGGCTGGATTCGAACTCCTGGGCTCAAGTGATCCTCCTGCCTTAGCCTGCTGAGTAGCTGGGACTACAGGTGCACGCCAGTGTGCCCGGCAAAGCCTGCGCTTTCAACCACCGTGCTGACCTTCCCCGCAGACATTCCAGGCTTGGGGCCCCGCAGACAAAGTGATTTTGATGCCCGTCCCTGGTTAGGAGCAAGTGGCCCAGTGCACAGCGTGTTAGATTCAGACTGCGTCGGAAGCGCGGACAGCGAACGCCATCTCCTGGAATCGACTCGTGGCTGGGTTCGCAGAAAAACTTGGCCGTTCAATGGCTAGTTTCCTGGGTTTTGGCTGGGGTGCTTGATGCCATTTCGGTATCAAGAAGGATCAGCTTTGGCCCAGATGTGGGTGCCACTTGGTCTGCCTGCCACCTTGCTCTCTCTTCCCCCTCCCTCGATTCTAAGTCCTGTTAACGGCTCCTGTGGACATTGCAGTCTCCCCTGGTAGCCTTCAGAGCGAAAGGGAGGATGCGCGTCGTGGATTCTCCTACCAGCCGGGGCGACCACGTAGGGTGCAGTAGCAACCCGTGTTTCCGTAATCTCTGTGGCAAAGCTACTTCTCCACCTGCGAAGCTCTCCCTGTTGTAAAATCTGGGATGAGATGATTCAGGGGATCGCACTGAAGCCACCAGAGGCTTGCCTGCCATATCCCTGTCCCAACTCTGTTCTCTTGTTGTCAACCCAGCACAATAGGCTGGCATCGATGGCGTTACGGAGAAAGCAGGCTGTGTGGCTAGCGAGCAGATTAGCACGCGAGCTCCAGGAGAATTGGAGTGGCCTCGCCGCCACCTCGTTCTTAGCCAGTATTAACGTGTCCCCTCCCCCTCACTGATTCAGGACCCTTGTCCCCGTGTGCCGCCAAGCCAGGACTCTTTCCTTTGCTTGGCATCCCTGGCTCTCTCCTGGTAGCCAGCAAGACAGCTCTTCCAGGGCAATGTGGCATCTTTCAAGCTCTGTTACTATGGCAATGGCCGTGATGTTACAATCCCACTTGTCTGGATAATCAAGTAGGACGGCGAAGCGGAGGGAAACGGGGCCAGGTGGATGCGGCTGCTCTGTGTTCTCCCCGCCTTGAGGAGGAACCACAGGGAGGCAACAGGAACTTCTGCAACTGGTTTTTATCAGAAAGAGCATCCTGCCTGCGGATGCTGGAGAAGAGGCAGGCACGAGAAACTGGAGCTGGAGAAGGCAGACTGAAGTGCACGCGTGTGATGGGTCCGACAGAGCCGTCCGTTCGGAGTCAGGCCTGGAATTCTGATTCCAAATTCTGCATGACTTTGGGAAGTCACCTCACCTCCCGGTAGCCACCTCCAGGATGGCAAAACCTAGTATATGTATAATCTGCCGGAACCAAGGAAACTAACAACGTAAGATGGTGGCGAATATGCTAATGGTTTTCCCAAGCCACTCCCCCCACCCCAAAAAAATTCTCCAGCATTCTGCAAATAATGAGCCACGTCTCTGATACCCCAAATAATGTCACGGGTAGGGGACATTCTGGGGCAGGTGGGATGGTTTAGTTTAGGGTTTTATTTATTCATTCCTTACCCTCTGGGGGAGTGGCCCATGTGAAGTTTTCTCCTGGGTGGGAGGATTTAGCTTCTGCCTCGGGGGAACAGTGGCTCATGCGGAGTTTTCCCAGCACCAGGCTGTGTGACTTCCCCAGCACTAGTGCGAAAGCAGCCAGGAGTCCCCACTGCAAAAGAACAATGCCATTTTATAAACAAGACTCATGGAGTATCAGGTTCAGGGCAGCCTGCTCTTCATATTTTATGATGTACCGACTCAAGTTCCACAAAGACCTTAGAAATGGTCCTCTTAACGTAACAGATCTTGAGAATAATAAATGCGAGGGAATAAGAGAGGCAGGCTTTGGACCTGGATGTAATAGTTTCATCACCTCCAAAAGAGAAGAACGTACAGTGCGTTAAGGGGACACTCAGGCCGCTATGACTCGAAACTGGAAGGAGGAAATGTAAAGCGAGTTCTGGAATCTTTTAGTACTTTTGCTCTGGGACAACCAGCTGCCTTCAGTGTTTTCATGTCTCCGTAAGTCCCCTTCTGCCAATAAATATCATCTGTTGATGCAACTTATGTTTGTGGTCTTGAGTTTCCTTCCCACTCTTGGAGCCAAGTGAGACTATTTTAGATCGAATGAGAAGCAGCACTTCGCGGAGTGGGCTGTTACCTCACGTCGGTTTCTGCTAAAGCCGAGCCTGCCGAGGTGCACGTGATGTATTTGTAAAGGCCCACGTGAAAAACCAGTAAGAGAATAACGAGTGAAACAGAACAGGGAAGGGGAGGAAGCCGAGTTCGTGGGCGACGTCTGGCGAAGTCCCAGCCTCAGCCCAATCCCCAGCGAGCTCCGGAGTGTACCTTGCAGCTCAGGGTTTGTTGCACTGGGAGCATTTTGTACTCACAAAAACACACCAGTCGAGCCTCGGCTCTGGGCTGCTGGGGGGACTTCCCAGGCACTTCATGTTGTCCCTTAGGGAGGCTTCGATGTCCGAGGACAAGCCTCTGAAGGTCTCAGGGACCGGCAAAGCATATGGAGCTGCAGGATGGGAACACAGACCTGGCAGAAGGGACCGGAAAGGTGCCTGCTGCAGAGCTCAGCTATAGGTTGTGGGGAGCCAGAACGTGTAGGCTGATTCAAGAAGGGTTTGCCTGATTATGGTAGAGATTCTAATGTAAATTAACAGTGTTAGGTGACAATTCATGCCTCCCAGGGCAACATGAGGATACCAGCCGTGAATACATCATCAGGCAGACCTTTTTGGTTGCCATCGTGAGAAAACCAATTCAAATAGGGCTTCAACAAAAGAATGACTTTATTTGGTTTGTGGAACAGTATGAGCTTCAGGTACAGCTGGATCCAGGGGCTCCAGTATAGAAGAGTGTCTCTCCATCCCACAATTGTTTTCCTTGGAGACAGTTTGACTTTCAGGCAGTTGGGTCTCATGTGCCGTGAGATGGCCCCCGGCATCTCTGTGTTTACGTTCTACCAGCTTATCAACACCAGCAAAGAGAGCTTCTGCATTCCCAAAGCTCCAGCAGGGGTCCTGAGACTGACTGTCATTTGTCTCCAAACCAGTTGCTTTTGCCTATGGGATGTGGGACACTGGCCAGACCTGGGTCAGGTGTCAAGCTCTGGAGCTAGGGATGGAGGTGGTGGGGAGATGGATCAGCCCCTCTGCGTCACATGGACTGAAAGCAGCGAGGGGGCAGGTGTCCAGAGGAAAAGAGGAGGTATATTATCTAAAACACCAACCTTAACCCACCATTCTCAGGAAGAGACTAGAACCTGGTTCCTTGGTATGTCTCAGACCAGGCAGATGCAGAGTGGCCTGTTTGCCCATTGTTGGAGCCATGAATCTGTAGGCTCATTAGCTTATGTACATGATGCCTTGCATAAAATGTGGTCTTATGCACTGACCTTGAACTGTTAGGCAAGTTCCCCAAACCTGTTGCCCAACCCATGGGTATGGTTTAGGCCAGTCCTTCCCTTAGGGGAGTTCTAAGGAATTTGAGGAAGGAACGAAGTGTGTGGCTTCTGCCCCAGGGAAGGCTGGGGTGTGCAGGGTCCAGGGGCAGGGAGTCTCCCTCCACTGTGCAGCCAGATACTTCCGTAGTCTTTGAGGGCCAGCCTTCCAAAAAGGAAATGAAAACGCAAAGACCTTCGGCTAGAAGTACACAACCAATTTTTTAATAAAGTCATTACAAATATGTACAAAGCTTCTCCAAGGTATGAAATTCCTCTTACAAAAGAGCACAACAAACCAACAATGTCAGAACCCAGAACGGAACATCCCAAGCTTATTGCCGCTCTGGCTGGGCCAGGGGCATCCTCGAGGTCCCAGGTACCCCCACAGCCATCCCTGCCATGCACACGGGCTCCTTGGCGCTTAGAATGCAAAAGACCTTGGGGGAGGGGGAACGTGGGGGTTCAGGTGGGGGCAGGAGGCAGGAAGGAGGTAAGAAAAGCTTCCCATGTCCTAGCAAATAAGTCAGACAGGCTCTGTTTGCAAGTTAGATGGTGCTCTCCAGGCCTTATAGAAACCAGGAACACGGGAGGGAATGAATACATGAAATCTGCAAGGGAACCATCCACCCTGCCCTCGAGTGTCCCCAGATGTGACACTCTTTCCAGTGGACCTAAGTCAGGCTCCCCGGCTCCCTGCTGGGCCCCATGCCGCTGTCTGCCCTTGAAATAGCAGCGCCGTGGGACCACCACATGAAGGGATCCAGTACAGCAGAGCAGCCAGCTCCTGGCCTTGGGGTCTCACAGACTCAAGTTCAAACCTTGGCTCCGCACCACTGTTTGTGTGGCCATCA